TTGCCTCAACTGCTCATGTTAATGTTTTACTCTTGCCTCAACTGCTCACCATTATGTTTACGGGCGTAGCTACTACGATTCTTAAACATAAACAAGGGCATGAGCAGGACGAATTACAAATAAATAACTATATGGGGTTTTACATATTAAAACAGCCCTTTTTTACATATAAACAATTTTGGGTAAATCAGGTTTAAAAAAAATGTGATCAACAAAAATTCTGATCTAAAAATAGCATTTCACGTTCTAGAATTTACGAATCACCATGTCGTAACGAAATTGATTGCGAAATTAATTTCGAAAAAATATTTGCGCAACTTTGCGAAAATTATCGATATTCCTGTATTTACAAATTACACAAAATTAGGGTTTAAGTTTGATGTTTTCTCCTGATTATTTTTCGGCGTTTTTTTTATTATTTCAGGTCTTTCAGCAGTTTACTGTGACTGGTGATTAATTATGGTTTTTCTTCAAATCTTTCGCGTTTTTTGGTGGATTTTCTTGGGATCTTCAGTCTTTCGGTGTCTTGGTGAATTTTCTTAGGGTCTTCAGAATTTGTTGAGTATTTCATATACTTTTCTCCGGTCTTTAGGTTGTTTATTGATCTTTAATTATGTTCTATTTTTTAGGTCTTTTGGCGTTTTGGTGAATTTTCTTGAGATCTTCTGTCTTCGGCACTTTTGGTGAATCTTCTTGGTATCTTCGGCATTTTGAGGAATTTTCTTGGAGTCTTCGGTGAGTATTTTATTTAGTTTCTCCTATCTTTCGGCTGTTTACTGGTCTTTAATTATTATTTTTTTTAGGTCTTTCGGCGTTTTGGTGAAGTTTCTTGGGATCTTCGGTCTTCGGCGTTTTTGGTGAATTTTCTTGGGATCTTCGGTCATCGGCGTTTTTGGTGAATTTTCTTAAAGTCTTTGGCATTTTGGTGAGTATTTCACCTGTCTTTCAGCTGTTTTCTGGTCTTTAATTCTGTTTTTTTTTTGTTTTTAGGTCTTTCGTTTTCTTGAGTCATCGGTCTTTCGGCAGTTTACAAGTTTGAACTTGTGGTTTTCGAGTTTTTCGGTGTTTCAGTGGTGAATGTAGTCTTTCTGTGTTTTACTGGTGAATTTTCTTGTGGTCTTCGGATCACAAGAAGGTTCACCAGTAAAACGCCGAAAGTGGTTTTTTGTTGGGTTTAGAGGCTTGGAATCTTTCGAAATTTTTTGCATTTATTCACATTATTTTGAATTTTTTTTGCTACCTTATTTTGCAAAATATTTTACATTTTTTTAAAATCTCTTTCGAAATATTTTGAAATTATTTTTTTCGAAATATTTTATGTCAATTGCAATTATTTCAAAATATTTTGTATATGCAAGTTTTTTCATATATCAAATTTGCTGATGATAGGTTTTGAAAATATCAACAATAAAAAAACATGTTTATTATTGTTATAATTGTATTATAAATATAAGTATGCATGTATTTTTTTTTTTACAATGTTATTAATTTGCTATCTGCATAAATTGCATAATTATTGTTTTTTATCTTACATAATATTGATATTGATATACATACAGAATTAATAAATTTGTAATAGAGTAACAATTAGATTTTAACTATTGCATATTGTATTGTAATAAATATATATATAACTATTAGTTGAATTAATTAAAATATTTAAATTTTTTAAATTTTTATTTTGTAAAAAATGTCTATTTTTTCATTAAATAAAAATATTTTTGAAGAAACTCATATAGAAAATACTCAATTACAAACAGATCTTTCAAATTTGCAATTTCAATACTTAGTTCAAGAAGATGATAATTTACCTTTATCTGAAATATCTGAAATTTTTGAAATTTCAGAAAATAATCTTTTAGAAAATGAGATTTGGACTGAAGAAGAGCTTTCAAAATTTAAAAAATTATATTATAAAGAAAAAGATACTTTTGAAAAACAAGATGATGATAATCAAAAATTAGAGAATGAAATAAATTTATTACAAAATAATGATTTTAAAACATCTTTTGAAAAAGTTTGTTGTGAAAAAAATTGTTTACAAACTCAAGTTGAATATTCTGTAGCTTTAAAAAGATATTTAAATTTTAAAAATCTTTCTAAACCTTTTCAAGATATGTATTTATTAGGTATTATTGCTACTACTAAACGACCAGAAATAATTAAAACTTCAAAAAAATCCAAACTTACTACAGAATATAGCTTTGAAGGAAAATCAATTTGTAAAAATGCATTTAAAACAATTTATAGTCTTGGAGATACTCGATGGAAAAATTTAAGAGATCATTTTGTAGAATATGATATAAATTTACGTATTGATTCAAAAACTGGAAAAGTTGGAAATCGAGCAATATCTTTTGAAAAAGTTATAAAAGTTATTACTTTTATAGGAAATTTTGCAAAGCAAAATGGTTTACCATCTCCAGGTAATATTTATTAACTATTTATTTTATTTATAATTATTTTATTAAATATTTTATTTTATTTATAATTAATTTAAAAATTAATTATTTTATTTATAATAAATTTAAATTTTATAGGACGAAGTTTTCGTGATAATACTATTGCAATTATATATTTACCAGCAGATACGACATATTCATCTTTACATATACAATATTTAGAAACAATTAAAACCAATAATCAATTTGAAGTTGGTTTTACAACATTTGTTAAAATTTGGAAAAAATTTTTACCACATATTAAAAAATTAACTCCACGTAGTGATTTATGTTTAAAATGCAAAAATATGAGATTTAATGCAATTTATTGGTCAAATGAAGAAAAAGAAACTAAAGTTTTAGAATGGCATGAACATATTAAATGGGCATATGAAGAACGAGAAAATTATAAGTAAGTAATTTTAAATTTTATAAAAGTTAAATATTTGATTAAAAATTTTTATTTAAATTAACTATTAGTTTAATTTTATAAATTTAATTAAATAATTTATATTTGATTTTTAATTTTTAATAATTTATTTTATAAAATTATTTAATTTTGTTTAAATTTAAAAATTTTATTAGAAAATATATTAAAATAGCATATGAAGATATTCAAAAATTTGGAATTAATAATTTAGTACGTCCTGGAAAACCAAACTCTTTAGATATTACAATTCATCTTTCTTGGGATTATGCACAGCAAATTCAATTACCATATTCATCTCAACAAGAAGTAAATAATTTTATTAAATTTATAAAAATTTTATTATAAGTTATATAATAATAATTTATTAATTATTTTATTATTAGGGTGAAATTTATTTTAAATCTTTATATAAAGTTTATTTATTTGGAATTTGTGATGATGCATTTCCACGTCAAGTAAATAATAATTTTTTTTTATTATATAATTATATTTATATTAATTTATTTTATAATTTTTAGGTAAATTATCTTATTAAAGAAAGTGAATTAGTTGGTAAAGGTGCAGATACTGTTATTTCTTTAGTTCATAATTATTTTGAATTACATGGATTAGGAGAAAAAAGATTAGTAATTCATGCAGATAATTGTTCTGGACAAAATAAGAATAATGCAATGATAGCATATTTAACTTGGAGAGTTTTAACAGGATTACATGATAGTATAACTTATTGTTTTATGGTTGCAGGACATACTAAATTTAGTCCAGATGGATTTTTTGGATTGATAAAATTACTTTTAAGAAAATCTGAAGTAGATAATCTTAATGATCTAATCAAAATAATTCAACATTCTACGACTGGTAAATATAATATTGCACAAACAGTTTTTGATGATAAAGGAAATCAGGTTGTACATTTTTATGAATGGACAGATTGGTTAAAACAAAATTTTACAACAATTCCAAATATATTAAAACAACATTATTTTGAATTTAATAGTTTAGACAAAGGAAAAGTTAAAATTAGTACATCTTCTAATGGAGAAAAAACAACTATACAAATTGAAAAAATTAGACAAAAAAATAATATTAATCAATTAGTTGAAAAAAAATTACCTGGTCTTAGTGCAGAACGACAATGGTATTTATATGAACAAATAAGAACTCATATACAAAATCCTAACAAAAAAGATGATTTATGTCCAATGCCTACTGTTGCTAAACCAATAAAATTTAAATAAAACTAAATATTAAATTTATTATTAAATAAAATTATATAAAAAAATTATTTGTCAAATTATTTTATTATAATATTTTGCAAAAATTTGCGAAATAAGGTAGCAAAAAAAGTTCAAAATAATGCAAATAAATGCAAAAAATTTCGAAATATTTTGAAAAAACTTGCAAAAGTTTGCAAAAGATTTCAAGCCGCTAAACCCAACAAAAAACCACTTTCAGCATTTTACTGGTAAACCTTCTTGTGATCCGAAGACCACAAGAAAATTCACCAGTAAAACACAGAAAGACTACGTTCACCACTGAAACGCTGAAAGACCCAAAAACCACAAGTTCAGACATGTAAACTGCTGAAAGACTAAAGACCCAAGAAAATTCACCAAAATGCCAAAAGACCTAAAAACAAAAAAAAAAACAGAATTAAAGACCAGTAAACAGCTGAAAGACAGGTGAAATACTCACCAAAATACCAAAAACTCTAAGAAAATTCACCAAAAATGCCGAAGACCGAAGATACCAAGATTCACCGAAAGACTGAAGATCTCAAGAAAATTCACCATAAGGTCGAAAGACCTAAAAAAAGAAAGAAAAAAAAAAATTTAAAGAATAGTAAACAGCTGAAAGACAGAAGGAAACTAAATGAAATACTCACCAAAACGCCGAAGACTTTAAGAAAATTCACCAAAACGCCGAAAGACCTAAAAAAAATCATAATTAAAGACTAGTAAACAGCTGAAAGACAGGAGGAAACTAAATGAAATACTCACCAAAACGCCGAAGACTAAGAAAATTCCCCAAAACCGCCGAAGACCGAAGATCCCAAGAAAATTCACCAAAACGCCGAAAGACCTAAAAAAAAACATAATTAAAGACCAGTAAACAGCCGAAAGACAGGAGAAAAGTACATTAAATACTCACCAAAATGCCGAAGACTCCAAGAAAATTCCCCAAAACGCTAAAAGATCGAAGAAACCAAGATTCTCCAAAAGCGCCGAAGACCGGAGATCCCAAGAAAATTCACTATAACTGAAAAACCTAAAAAAAAAAAAAGAAGATAACCAGTAAACAGCTGAAAGACAGGAGAAACTAAATGAAATACTCACCAAAACGCCGAAGACTCTAAGAAAATTCACCAAAAACGCCGAAGACCGAAGATCCCAAGAAAATTCACCAAAACGCCGAAAGACCTAAAAAAAAAAGAACATAATTAAAGATCAATAAGCAGTCTAAAGACCGGATAAAAGTATATGAAATACTCAACAAATTCCAAAGACCCCCGACACCGAAAGACCGAAGACCCCAAGAAAATCGAAGAAAAACCATAATTAATTAGTTTATTGAAAATCTAAGTGATCTTCGTATTCTATTAGATTCCAGAAATCTTGTATTTCTATTTTTAGATTTCATCGTTTTTTCAGTTTTTTGCAATTTACAGATTTTTTTATTATATAATTTGGTCTTGTGATTTGATAAATCTTTTTGCCAAATATATATCTATTAGAAAATCGAAAAAAATCAATTTTCAAAAAATTGTAAAAAAGGGCTGTTTTAATATGTAATACCCCATATGACATTAGAAGAAACAAAACAGGCATACTCAAGCTTCTCAGTACTAGCCTTCATAGATGACACAATGTGGGTTGCTAACTCTAAACAAGAGTTGAGCAGCATCTTACTACTGTATCATCATTCTTTGCTCTAACTAACATTAAAGTAAACCTGACAAAATCAGTTTTAGCAACAATAAATAGTAAACAGTACTCAGAGATCACTTTTGACAATACCAGACTATACAGTATAAAGAAAATAGAGGCTTTTAGATTCTTCAGCTACTGGTACTCAATTACTAAGCAGCATACACCAAACCATAATATTATCAAAAAAGAGAGCTTCAATGTACTCAACAAATTACAAACTACAAAAATCACTGAAAAGCAAGCAATCTATATCATAAACACAGTTATACTAACTAGACTCGCATATAGAATTCAAAACACCTTTCTGCCAGATAGTACCTGTACTCAAATTATAAATAAGTATACCAATATCACAAACATAAAGCAGAACTTGCTACATCAATATCATCATCAACAATTCACAACCACAAAATATATGCATTAAAAAAAGCAGAGAATATCTAGTTACAACAACATTTCTCCATACTCATAAAGCATCTAAATCATACTAATTTTACAAACTCATCTCTAAAGATCAGACTACAACAATTACAAAACTCTGCTACTACCAACAAGTTCATCTTAACAGATCCAACTTGTCTATTCAACAGTACATAACATACTATAACTCTAGTTCAAATCATATACAAAATTTACAAGCTAAGAATTCAGATTATCCATAGTAGCAATAATTGGCCTAAATTACTAGAAACAGAGAGTCAATTAATAAATGCAATAATAAATATATTATCTAAACTATAGGTAATAAAAAACTACATGAACAGATTTGGACTATACTATATCAAACAATGTGTAGACAATATACATATATATATAACTAAATAGCAATACCTACTACAATCTACAGAAAAAATTCCTAGAGGCAGATAACCTAAATGGTACAAAACACTAGAAGAAGCTATCATTCTAAAACTACCAAACATGAAAGAAAAGCTAACTCAGATTAAATACTATATAAAAAATAAGGACAAACTAAACAAAAAAGACTAGATAATATCTACAGATAGCCAATATGCAATTGGCAAAATTTCTTCGATAAAAAATGACAAAGCAAATATTCAGTACTAGGTACAAACAAATAATAATGACAAACTCTTGTAATGTCAAGGCTGCAACCTCAATGACAAAAAATTAAACAAGAAGTACTGCACTATCTAGAAAGGAGTAACAAATCTAATTAAAATTCAGGTAGATTGTAATCAAAACATAAGGTGCAATCTAGAAGACTTTATATCTAATCTCAGAAATACCAAGATATATAACATATTAGTATCTACAAAACAGACAAACAAACAAACTGTTATACAGCAAACTATCTCTGATGAGGCCACTGCAGCACAACTACAAAAAATGAAAATGCTCATATCAAATAACTGTAACTTTGAAGTAATTCTAAATATATATAATTACCAAAATAACAAATATACTAGTACTGGTGCAATATAGAAGATATCAAACTCACAAGTCCAATTTTATCAAACCTCTAAGAGTTGGCTAATGCAAACTAAAGCAATATATGATGTAATATATTGTATTTTCTTGATAGCTCCTACAAGATCCATAGTACAACTACATGTAAATTATCAAAATATCGCAAAGAAAATCAATAAGCTTAAGATTAAACCATCTTATAAATACAGCAACAGACCCTCTCAAAACAACTAGCAGAATATAGTATCACTCAGAACTATTGCAATACAAAAAGAAATCACATGGGAAATAAACTACAACCAATATGTAGTCATCACATCTTCTTCAAACAGTACTAGATACAGTACAGAAATACAATACAACAAGGTTTGACATGACCTATTTATACCCTTCTGGCAGAGTATAACAACTATGCATAATCCAAGAAGGTTTATACATCATCTCTGCAATGCTCACCAAATTTCAATTTGGTATTTACAAAACTATACAGCCCACTAAGATATATATCATGAACTTATTAACTGGGATATACTACATACATATCTAAACTACTCAGAAAAACCAACGACTAGAAGCACTAATCCTAAACATTCTAATATTAAAGCTTTCAAAATTAAAATTATTTTAAATGAACTCCCAGTACTAACAACTTTATATAAAAGAAACCCACAGAAATACCCAAACCCAAAGTGCCTAAGATGCAAAGAAACTAAAGAAACTATCTCACATATGTTAAACTGCAAGACAAATAGAATCAAACTTAACAACCTCATAATACAAATCACAAACAAGATCCTCACCAAATACAAAGAAAATAGTACAAACAATATCCACCTTGTTAATAACACTATTACAAAATTACTAAATATAACTACAGCAGATAGCACATAATACAATAATCTAGAACTACTACATCTTTAAGATATGATATACATTAACCAAATTACAGATGAATACAAAGGGCCATACAATCTAGCTACCTATATTCTTCACAAACTTGCAAAAGCTATACATAAAGAGATATAGATTCTGTGATGCCAAAAAGTAGCAAACCAAACACTACAAACTCCTAGGCAAATAGTAAAAGCAAACCACAAATCAAAATCTACACCAGCAAATATAGGAGAAAATGAAGATACTGAAAGACAAAAAAATCAAAAAAATAAACATAAAGCTCATGGAGCTCTAAATTCAGTAAAAACAATCTTTTACTATTATTTATAAAAAAAATCATAATCTAAGTGAGGTCTTGGCCCTTCTTGGTTAAGTTTGGGTCATAGGTAAATTAGTCTAAGTCTTAGTTTTTAGGAGATATATATGTACTACAGATAGTTTCTAAACAATTTATACTCATATTATTTAAATAAAGAACTGTGACATAATCTCGCTTATAAAAAAAAAAAAAAAAAAAAAAAAAAAAAAAAAAAACTTTTTTTTATTTAAATTCTATGAATTCATAAAATTTAAATAAAAAAAGATTCATTATATTTGATTAGGTAATTGTCAATATATCTTCTTTCAAAATTAAAGAAAAATCAGATATCTATTAAAATAAAAGTAATATTAAGTTTTTTTAAAACTTTGAACAAAGATATCTTGATAACTATCTGATCAAATTTAATAAACTTTTATTTATTTGATTCTATGAATTTATAGAATTCAAATAAAAAAAATTTATTGAATTTGGTCAGGTAATTATTAAGATATCTTCATTCAAAGTTTTATAAAACTTTAATATAGCTTATATTTTAACAAATGTTTTGATTTTTTTCTAACTTTGAATAAAAATATTTTGATAACTACCTAATCAAATTTAATGAACTTTATTTTATTTATTTTTTTTTAACCTTTTTAGCAAGTCATTCTAATACTTTATTTGCAATAAATTTTATATTTGACAAAAACAATTAGAATACATAGTTATTTTCAATATATCTAACTACATAATTTTTTATATATTAACTTACCTAGTTACTCTAATAGTATCTATATGCAATCTGCCACAGTAAGTCTTTTCTCTCATTATTATTATTTAATCTATTAAAAAAATAACAATAAATCATTGAGTATATATCATAGCCTATTATAACTTCTTACCTATACAATAGACTATTACCAAACTGATAATAGCTTTTTGTATAGCAAAAAAGATAAATAAAAATTATATATATAATGAAAATTATAATGGTCACATATCATATAATAAAGTTGTATAGAGAAAACCTGCTAACAAGTAAAAAACTCTAAACAACAGATAAATAAAAGAAAAAAAAAAAGGATAAGGTTTTACTATAAAAGTAAAGGATTAGATAAAAATTGTATATATATAATACTTAAGTTATTCTTTAAATTCTCAAGAGAGTAAAGTACTATCTTATAAAGAGAATATTATTAACACAAATTTCCTATAGCATATATTAGGCTTAGTACATATTTGTTGTTTGTGTATAGTATAAGAAACAACAAGCTAATATCTAATAGTATTTGTCAATATAAATTACAGATCTTTTGAAAGGAATAAGCCAAATCTCTCAAAAAACATATATAACATACTAACCAATAGAAAGAAGCTATATATAACTAAAATTAGACCAAATACAGGCAAATAGAAAGAATTCTAAAGAATTTGGTTTAAAGAGCAAGATCATTTTAGAAATCAAAAATGAAGATAGAGAAAATAAAATATATTATTATAAGCAAAAATAAAGTATATAGAATACAGAGAGTTCAAAGCATTTCATCAAGAAGATAACTAAAGAATATAGAAAAGAAATAATTCAAAAGGGAGTATTTCAGTATTAGATCTTACAGACTACTTCAATAAAATAGTAGCAAAATTAATGAATATAGACAAAGATATTATTACTTTAGCAAGACAATAGTATATAGCATTAGAAAGAGCTTCATTTACAGAAGGAATAGATAAGATCAAGTTAGTATTAGAAAAAGAGTAATAAGTAAGAATTATACAACAAAGAATAGTAAATAAGATAATAAATATGATAGAAATATGAATAGAAGTATTTCCAGTAACAAAAATAAGAAGTGCTACAGAAGTAGAAACTTCTAAAGATCTAAAGCAATTTATATAACATCAAAATAAAGTAAATAATATAATAAAAAAGATAAAAACAAATGAGCTTACAAAAAATATAGAAGATATTCAACTAGTAGAAAATAGCATAGAAATTTGCCTATTAAAAAATGAAATAAAAGAATGTCTCAAGAGATTAGTTGAAATAAAAAAATCAAAATACAGTAGTATATTACTAGAATATAGCTTATAAGTATCTAAGCCAAACTTATGCAAAGACAAAAAAGAATCTATAACAAAAATAGTAGTAATCAAAATTCTAAAAGATAATATAGAACAAAAACAAAAGTTAATCAGATAGTCACTAAGAGAAAATAAATACTTTAAAGCAATTCAAGAAAAATTTGCAAATAGAAACCTATAGTGTATTATCTATTTTGACTATAAAAAAGAGTATGAAGAAGCTAAAACAAGACTAAAAAAAAAGAAAGATAAATTCGACTAGCTAAACCTAATACTAGAAGAGAATATAGAGAAGAAAAGCTCAAAAAAAAAAAGAAATCTGCACAAGACTAGAAGAAAGAAAAAGTAGTAAGAGAAACTTAAGCAAGACTTAAACTTGATTGAAATACAAAGGAAAAGAGCTACTTTATTTAACTAAACTGAAGAAAGTAAATGCTCAATAAGTAGTATAAATAAAAAAAGAAAGGAGATAATAACTGATCAAGTAATAGAGAATAAATTAGCTCTCAAAAACGATAAAAGAAAAAAAAGAATGTACAAGCAAGAAACTCTTGTTGATAAAGAAGAAATTTTAAAAAAAACCAGTATATAAACAAAGAAGAAGAGCTCTCTTCCAAAACTAAGAAAATAATTATAGTATGAAATATACTTTATCATATAACAAGATTATAAGTTTTTTATGTAATTAGATATCTAGAATGAGTTAAAAATATTAAAATAATAAGAAAAAGCTTAGGAAAACTAAGAGCAGAAATTCTCTTCAAAAAAGGAAGTAGTCTTATACAAAAAATAGAAATTTAAATCACTTCTCTTACAAATAATCTCTTAGTATATATAATATCAGGATTAAATAAAAGAGAGATACTAGAAAGCTATAAAAAATTTATGCTAAGGCTATATAATATTCTACAAAATATAAACAAGGTATTGTTATTCAGATAACTCAAATATACTGAAGCAAGAGTAGTATATGTTTTTAAAAACTCAAATAGAAACAACAAAGGCTATACATTAGTATTCTTTAAAAGCTAGTAAGAAATAATAAGAATATAAAGTTTAGTATTAACTATTACAATACAAAGCTATTTTAAGAAATTTTTAAAGTAGTTACAAATAGAGTATACTGCTTAGAAGTTGAAAGTTAACAAGAATTCTTCAAATATAATTAACAAACAAAAAGCTTTAAAAGAAAAGAACTAGCTCAAAAAAGACAAGATCCTAAATATAAAAAAGAAAATCTCAACTCAGTAAGAAAAAATAAAACAAGAAATAAGATATATACAAGAATAGAAAAAGAAAAAGTCTTATCTACAGAAAAGAGAAACAATATACTTTATAAAAAAAACAACTATGCAGAATCATTCTTATATATGATATAATGAATACAGAATCTAGAAGGAAAATTAATTAACTTTGAGAGTAATTGGAGACTAGAAGCTTCAAACTGCTCCTAATATTTACTAAAGTTAAATTAATAGAAGTTTTTGTCTATTAAGAAGGAAAACTTAAAAGACAAAACAGAGCAGAATTAAGTCAAAACTAAAAAAAAAAAAAAAAAGAAAACAGAGAGAAAGAGAAAAAAAGAATAGAGATACAAAAAGTAGAGTGAATAGCAATACATATACTAGAAACAGAGAAAAAGAAAGTATAAAGACATAAACACATAATATTAATAGGATAAAAGAAGACAATATAAAAGCAGAGTAGCTAGCAGAGTTTAGTAAGTCAAAAGAGTATAATGTAATTAGAATTATAGAAACTAATATAAGTAAACAAGAAGGCAAATAGATAAATACAAAAGAATATAGGTATTCAAGCTTCTGAACTAAATAGAAAAAGATAAAAAAAAAGATTAGAAATTGGATTACTAGTTAATTAAAATTGAATAAGAAATTTAGAAGTATACAAAAAGTATAGTCCTTATCTGCTTAAAGCAGAATTCATCTTTAAAAAAGTAGTTTTGCAAGTTTGAATAGTCTATTTACAATCTAAAAACCTAGAAGTAACTAAAAAAGTATATAAAATCTTAATTGAAGAAAACATCAAAAACAAAAAAAATATACACTATATAATCTTAGAAAATTTTAATATAGTATTAAGTGAAAGATTAGATATGAGTAGAGAAGGAAAGAAGAATATAGATTGTGATATAAGAATTATGAACTAGCTCAAAAATACTGATCACATAGAAGTTTTTTATTTCTGTAACCCAGAATTATCTAAGTACTCATAGTCAAATAATAAGATATTAACTAAAATAGACTATATATAGATAATATAAGATATAAAAAGTTTTGTTCTAAATAGCAATATAGATGAAATAGAGACAGTTACAGATAGTGATTATGAGTTGATCTAGATATAATTAGATAGCTTAGGTATTTTAGAAGGAAACAGATGAAGAAATAAAAAAAGACTAAAAGAGACAAGAAGACTTTATCAATATTATAAAGCAATAGAAGAAAATTGAAATGATTACAGCTAAGAAGTAGAAAGAATAATTAGCAATATAGAAAAAAGAAAAAAGAAAAATAGAAGTAATATAGAAAGAGAATTAGAAATAGATATTAATAAAGAGTAAGAAATAATAGCAAAGACAATACAAGCAGTAGTAAGCAAACATATTTTTTTGACTAAAATACAAGATTTCAAAAACTAGATAAAAAAAGAAACAACAAAATCACTAACATATAGCAAGACTAAAGTTTTAGAAAGATTATATAAAAGAGGAGCTAAAGCTACAGGACAAAATATAGATAACTTTAAAAAAGCAATATTAGATACATATATAGAGTATTTAAATACAGAATACAAAATTTATATACTATGCTTGCCTAATTTCTGAAACATATAATACTGTA